TGTCGTGGACATGGAAATCTAGTCGAATGACCCGGGCCGGCGCCTTCAGTGCGTACAGAACTTTGCATGCGGTGCACATGTTGATCCGATGCGACCAGCACGCTACAGTGCATAAATGAATGTGTGTAGATGTACCATATGCTTACTCACGGCTGCATGGCCAGCGCCCTGGGGCCGCTAGACGTGCGACCGGATTTCCATGCCCACGACAGAACCTTGGCTGCTCTATCCTGAAAATTATTATTTTTGCACTTCTTGTACACTTGCTTTGCGTACTGGTACAATTCACCCATCCCCCGGCCCCACTATCAGCTGAAAGTCTGAAAAATACTCACCATGACAATCCTCTCTCTGACCTGTGTTGCTATTACCCACTGCAGTTGTGACCTGTGCACGACCAGCTAATCCAGCCAACGGAGTCTATAGCACGGGCTCCTTTACTGCTGTACAAAACACCCTGACATTAACTTGTAGTACTGGCTACACCCTTGCCGGTTCTGCTACGGCAACTTGCGGAGCAGGTGGCTTAGTGACTGGTGATGATGGTGTCTGCAACGGTAAGTTCCCGGTGTGTTTGTCAAAGTCTACTTTGTAATTTCGTGGCTGCTATGGTAGCTCCTGCTTTTCATGTCGACTTGACTCGACTCTTGACCGACTCACGGCTGCCATCCAAAGTACACGAGAAGCTTGGACTTCACAGGGAATCTCAAAGGATTAGGAAATGAGGCTACCTTCCCACTGCACTTTTCTCTCTCCAAAACCTGCGATAGCTATAAATACGAAAGAAAGAGAAATCACCTGTTCCACCACCGGGACTCATGCCAGAGGCTTTGCTATTTGCGAGTAACTGAGTTAAACCTAGTTCACATTCGACGAAACGCCGACGGTACGGGACGTAAGGGCTTGCCGGGAGGGCTGGGGTGAGCTGTAAAATCCTGTACGATTCGTACGACACGACATGCAGCAGTCGTTGCGACGTTCAACGTCGAACGGCGCGAGTCATAAGGCACGGTCCGTGACGGGGTGACTTTCGGACCTAATTTCTCGTTTCTCGGGACTTCTTTTCAATTATTTCTCCTTGAAAGAAGCGGAATCAAGTTCACAATACCAGTTTTTCATGAAGACCAGTTTTTCATGAAGACCAAAAAATTAGCCCTGAAAGTTGTGGCATTCAAATAATAGCCCCAGGAAATGATAGTATAGTTCGTCTGTCACGCTTCTGAACTATCCCTAAATACAATAAGACAATAAGACATGAGATCTTATGTTGCTAAAATTCAACTCAAGTCGTGCTAGCCATTCTGCGAGTTATCATGGGAAGCGCAGTGTTCGAAATGCTAAAAATTTCCAAGTACGAATCGGGAGTAGTCGGCGCACGCCGCCGTCTCCTGTTCACACTCAAATTGCAGCCGTTTTGTACGCTTGCGTCCCCGTCTACGCCCGTCTACGGTATGAAAAGTTGGATCGATCCAACTCTTCCCGTCGCTTCCCGATCTGTACGGTAGTACGGTTGCGTTCCCGTTCCTGGTGTTCACATTGGACGGCGTCAGACCGTCCCGTCGCTTCCCGTCGATCCTTACGTCGCGTCCCGTCGCGCCCCGTCGAATGTGAACTAGGCTTTACAGTATGGCATCCATGGGTTTTCACCTGTAAAGTGATTCAAACTACTGTCGTGGACATGGAAATCTAGTCGAATGACCCGGGCCGGCGCCTTCAGTGCGTACAGAACTTTGCATGCGGTGCACATGTTGATCCGATGCGACCAGCACGCTACAGTGCATACATGGATGTGTGTAGATGTACCATATGCTTACTCACGGCTGCATGGCCAGCGCCCTGGGGCCGCTAGACGTGCGACCGGATTTCCATGCCCACGACAGAACCTTGGCTGCTCTATCCTGAAAATTATTATTTTTGCACTTCTTGTACACTTGCTTTGCGTACTGGTACAATTCACCCATCCCCCGGCCCCACTATCAGCTGAAAGTCTGAAAAATACTCACCATGACAATCCTCTCTCTGACCTGTGTTGCTATTACCCACTGCAGTTGTGACCTGTGCACGACCAGCTAATCCAGCCAACGGAGTCTATAGCACGGGCTCCTTTACCGCTGTACAAAACACCCTGACATTAACTTGTAGTACTGGCTACACCCTTGCCGGTTCTGCTACGGCAACTTGCGGAGCAGGTGGCTCAGTGACTGGTGATGATGGTGTCTGCAACGGTAAGTTCCCGGTGTGTTTGTCAAAGTCTACTTTGTAATTTCGTGGCTGCTATGGTAGCTCCTGCTTTTCATGTCGACTTGTATGTATGTATGTATATTTTTATTTGAATTCGCAAGTACACACGGGCTACAAGCCCAGTTACATGGAAGCGAATGCCATAATGAGGCCAATTTAGAAAAAAAAGGTGGAGGAAGGAGGAGGACGGTAGCAAAGCAACAGGGAGGACAATTCAGGACCAAAATCAACAATTGCACAAATGTAAGAGCACCTGAGACTGAGGGTACCTGTGGAGCGATAAAATGCCAAGCAAACAGAAGAAAGGAAATCACAAGCCAATACACGCTAAACTGCACTTGAGTTAGAATGAATTGGAAAACCGGAGCTCAACAAAATTATAACGTACAAAGTCATAATAAGAAGTCAACTGGATGAGAAGTAGCACAAGCAAACATTTCCTGACAACGAGAGGGGCTGTAACTACAGCCACAGCAGTAGCTGCTGTAGCAGCAGCAGCATCAGCAGCAGCAACAACAACAACAACAACAACAACAACAACAACAACAACAACAACAACAACAACAACAACAACAAGAACAACAACAGCAGCAACAACAGCAACAACAGCAACAACAGCAACAACAGCAACAACAGCAGCAACAACAACAACAACAACAACAACAACAACAACAACAACAACAACAGCAACAGCAGCAGCAGCAGCGCCGTGCAGACTACTCCAAGGGGAGTATGGGACTGTGAACACAGAAGGCGGGATAATTCACGAAGTTTGCAGATCTAGCCCGCCAGCGTGAAGGGCAGTGCAGCTACGGCGAATTCACTGGGACGATTGAGTAGGCGAACTTCGCTGGGGACTTGACTCGACTCTTGACCGACTCACGGCTGCCATCCAAAGTACACGAGAAGCTTGGACTTCACAGGGAATCTCAAAGGATTAGGAAATGAGGCTACCTTCCCACTGCACTTTTCTCTCTCCAAAACCTGCGATAGCTATAAATACGAAAGAAAGAGAAATCACCTGTTCCACCACCGGGACTCATGCCAGAGGCTTTGCTATTTGCGAGTAACTGAGTTAAACCTAGTTCACATTCGACGAAACGCCGACGGTACGGGACGTAAGGGCTTGCCGGGAGGGCTGGGGTGAGCTGTAAAATCCTGTACGATTCGTACGACACGACATGCAGCAGTCGTTGCGACGTTCAACGTCGAACGGCGCGAGTCATAAGGCACGGTCCGTGACGGGGTGACTTTCGGACCTAATTTCTCGTTTTTCGGGACTTCTTTTCAATTATTTCTCCTTGAAAGAAGCGGAATCAAGTTCACAATACCAGTTTTTCATGAAGACCAAAAAATTTGCCCTGAAAGTTGTGGCATTCAAATAATAGCCCCAGGAAATGATAGTATAGTTCGTCTGTCACGCTTCTGAACTATCCCTAAATACAATAAGACAATAAGACATGAGATCTTATGTTGCTAAAATTCAACTCAAGTCGTGCTAGCCATTCTGCGAGTTATCATGGGAAGCGCAGTGTTCGAAATGCTAAAAATTTCCAAGTACGAATCGGGAGTAGTCGGCGCACGACGCCGTCTCCTGTTCACACTCAAATTGCAGCCGTTTTGTACGCTTGCGTCCCCGTCTACGCCCGTCTACGGTATGAAAAGTTGGATCGATCCAACTCTTCCCGTCGCTTCCCGATCTGTACGGTAGTACGGTTGCGTTCCCGTTCCTGGTGTTCACATTGGACGGCGTCAGACCGTCCCGTCGCTTCCCGTCGATCCTTACGTCGCGTCCCGTCGCGCCCCGTCGAATGTGAACTAGGCTTTACAGTATGGCATCCATGGGTTTTCACCTGTAAAGTGATTCAAACTACTGTCGTGGACATGGAAATCTAGTCGAATAACCCGGGCCGGCGCCTTCAGTGCGTACAGAACTTTGCATGCGGTGCACATGTTGATCCGATGCGACCAGCACGCTACAGTGCATAAATGAATGTGTGTAGATGTACCATATGCTTACTCACGGCTGCATGGCCAGCGCCCTGGGGCCGCTAGACGTGCGACCGGATTTCCATGCCCACGACAGAACCTTGGCTGCTCTATCCTGAAAATTATTATTTTTGCACTTCTTGTACACTTGCTTTGCGTACTGGTACAATTCACCCATCCCCCGGCCCCACTATCAGCTGAAAGTCTGAAAAATACTCACCATGACAATCCTCTCTCTGACCTGTGTTGCTATTACCCACTGCAGTTGTGACCTGTGCACGACCAGCTAATCCAGCCAACGGAGTCTATAGCACGGGCTCCTTTACTGCTGTACAAAACACCCTGACATTAACTTGTAGTACTGGCTACACCCTTGCCGGTTCTGCTACGGCAACTTGCGGAGCAGGTGGCTTAGTGACTGGTGATGATGGTGTCTGCAACGGTAAGTTCCCGGTGTGTTTGTCAAAGTCTACTTTGTAATTTCGTGGCTGCTATGGTAGCTCCTGCTTTTCATGTCGACTTGACTCGACTCTTGACCGACTCACAGCTGGCATCCAAAGTACACGAGAAGCTTGGACTTCACAGGGAATCTCAAAGGATTAGGAAATGAGGCTACCTTCCCACTGCACTTTTCTCTCTCCAAAACCTGCGATAGCTATAAATACGAAAGAAAGAGAAATCACCTGTTCCACCACCGGGACTCATGCCAGAGGCTTTGCTATTTGCGAGTAACTGAGTTAAACCTAGTTCACATTCGACGCAACGCCGACGGTACGGGACGTAAGGGCTTGCCGGGAGGGCTGGGGTGAGCTGTAAAATCCTGTACGATTCGTACGACACGACATGCAGCAGTCGTTGCGACGTTCAACGTCGAACGGCGCGAGTCATAAGGCACGGTCCGTGACGGGGTGACTTTCGGACCTAATTTCTCGTTTTTCGGGACTTCTTTTCAATTATTTCTCCTTGAAAGAAGCGGAATCAAGTTCACAATACCAGTTTTTCATGAAGACCAGTTTTTCATGAAGACCAAAAAATTAGCCCTGAAAGTTGTGGCATTCAAATAATAGCCCCAGGAAATGATAGTATAGTTCGTCTGTCACGCTTCTGAACTATCCCTAAATACAATAAGACAATAAGACATGAGATCTTATGTTGCTAAAATTCAACTCAAGTCGTGCTAGCCATTCTGCGAGTTATCATGGGAAGCGCAGTGTTCGAAATGCTAAAAATTTCCAAGTACGAATCGGGAGTAGTCGGCGCACGACGCCGTCTCCTGTTCACACTCAAATTGCAGCCGTTTTGTACGCTTGCGTCCCCGTCTACGCCCGTCTACGGTATGAAAAGTTGGATCGATCCAACTCTTCCCGTCGCTTCCCGATCTGTACGGTAGTACGGTTGCGTTCCCGTTCCTGGTGTTCACATTGGACGGCGTCAGACCGTCCCGTCGCTTCCCGTCGATCCTTACGTCGCGTCCCGTCGCGCCCCGTCGAATGTGAACTAGGCTTTACAGTATGGCATCCATGGGTTTTCACCTGTAAAGTGATTCAAACTACTGTCGTGGACATGGAAATCTAGTCGAATGACCCGGGCCGGCGCCTTCAGTGCGTACAGAACTTTGCATGCGGTGCACATGTTGATCCGATGCGACCAGCACGCTACAGTGCATAAATGAATGTGTGTAGATGTACCATATGCTTACTCACGGCTGCATGGCCAGCGCCCTGGGGCCGCTAGACGTGCGACCGGATTTCCATGCCCACGACAGAACCTTGGCTGCTCTATCCTGAAAATTATTATTTTTGCACTTCTTGTACACTTGCTTTGCGTACTGGTACAATTCACCCATCCCCCGGCCCCACTATCAGCTGAAAGTCTGAAAAATACTCACCATGACAATCCTCTCTCTGACCTGTGTTGCTATTACCCACTGCAGTTGTGACCTGTGCACGACCAGCTAATCCAGCCAACGGAGTCTATAGCACGGGCTCCTTTACTGCTGTACAAAACACCCTGACATTAACTTGTAGTACTGGCTACACCCTTGCCGGTTCTGCTACGGCAACTTGCGGAGCAGGTGGCTCAGTGACTGGTGATGATGGTGTCTGCAACGGTAAGTTCCCGGTGTGTTTGTCAAAGTCTACTTTGTAATTTCGTGGCTGCTATGGTAGCTCCTGCTTTTCATGTCGACTTGACTCGACTCTTGACCGACTCACAGCTGGCATCCAAAGTACACGAGAAGCTTGGACTTCACAGGGAATCTCAAAGGATTAGGAAATGAGGCTACCTTCCCACTGCACTTTTCTCTCTCCAAAACCTGCGATAGCTATAAATACGAAAGAAAGAGAAATCACCTGTTCCACCACCGGGACTCATGCCAGAGGCTTTGCTATTTGCGAGTAACTGAGTTAAACCTAGTTCACATTCGACGCAACGCCGACGGTACGGGACGTAAGGGCTTGCCGGGAGGGCTGGGGTGAGCTGTAAAATCCTGTACGATTCGTACGACACGACATGCAGCAGTCGTTACTACGTTCAACGTCGAACGGCGCGAGTCATAAGGCACGGTCCGTGACGGGGTGACTTTCGGACCTAATTTCTCGTTTTTCGGGACTTCTTTTCAATTATTTCTCCTTGAAAGAAGCGGAATCAAGTTCACAATACCAGTTTTTCATGAAGACCAGTTTTTCATGAAGACCAAAAAATTAGCCCTGAAAGTTGTGGCATTCAAATAATAGCCCCAGGAAATGATAGTATAGTTCGTCTGTCACGCTTCTGAACTATCCCTAAATACAATAAGACAATAAGACATGAGATCTTATGTTGCTAAAATTCAACTCAAGTCGTGCTAGCCATTCTGCGAGTTATCATGGGAAGCGCAGTGTTCGAAATGCTAAAAATTTCCAAGTACGAATCGGGAGTAGTCGGCGCACGACGCCGTCTCCTGTTCACACTCAAATTGCAGCCGTTTTGTACGCTTGCGTCCCCGTCTACGCCCGTCTACGGTATGAAAAGTTGGATCGATCCAACTCTTCCCGTCGCTTCCCGATCTGTACGGTAGTACGGTTGCGTTCCCGTTCCTGGTGTTCACATTGGACGGCGTCAGACCGTCCCGTCGCTTCCCGTCGATCCTTACGTCGCGTCCCGTCGCGCCCCGTCGAATGTGAACTAGGCTTTACAGTATGGCATCCATGGATTTTCACCTGTAAAGTGATTCAAACTACTGTCGTGGACATGGAAATCTAGTCGAATGACCCGGGCCGGCGCCTTCAGTGCGTACAGAACTTTGCATGCGGTGCACATGTTGATCCGATGCGACCAGCACGCTACAGTGCATAAATGAATGTGTGTAGATGTACCATATGCTTACTCACGGCTGCATGGCCAGCGCCCTGGGGTCGCTAGACGTGCGACCGGATTTCCATGCCCACGACAGAACCTTGGCTGCTCTATCCTGAAAATTATTATTTTTGCACTTCTTGTACACTTGCTTTGCGTACTGGTACAATTCACCCATCCCCCGGCCCCACTATCAGCTGAAAGTCTGAAAAATACTCACCATGACAATCCTCTCTCTGACCTGTGTTGCTATTACCCACTGCAGTTGTGACCTGTGCACGACCAGCTAATCCAGCCAACGGAGTCTATAGCACGGGCTCCTTTACTGCTGTACAAAACACCCTGACATTAACTTGTACTATTGGTTACAACCTTACCGGTTCTGCTACGGCAACTTGCAATGCAAATGGCTCAGTGACTGGTGATGATGGTGTCTGCGACCGTAAGTTCCCGGTGTGTTTGTCAAAGTCTACTTTGTAGTTTGGTGGCAGCTATGGTGAGCTTCATGGCCATGTAATTCGAATCTGTATATAATGCTTGTGCGATCCGCATAGAAGGTTGCGACTTTTTCTGTTTATCATAATTTTTCTGTCGTTCCCTATTAGGCCACACCAAGTTATTTCTATGTTTCGCGTCACCCGCCCGCGTACCTTTTCAAATCCTTGCCAAGAAAAAAAAGAACCTAGACGAGCCAATCGATGGCTGTTCTGGCGAACATTCTCTAGCCAGTACGGCAGATCAGAGGTTATCAGCTTCTCGATAATCTTGCATTCCAGGCGATGGTACGTAGAAGGTGCGAGAGATGAAAATTTCTATTTTTCCAAGCCGTGCGGTAGGCCTAGGGCCTGCTCACCAAGAGAGGAGAGATTCCAGGTGTCAAGGACTTCGAGATTTTCCACGATTGTGATGGAGCGGGATCCCACTCGACTCATGTCAAAATGCAGAAGGAGCCATCCATGAAATCTCTGTATCGCTCCAGCCCAGTCTGCCAGCTGTCCTGTGACGACTTGTTGTCGTTTTGGATAGAAGTGACAGTTTAGTAGTGGTAGTAGTGGTATTTTACGACTCCCTGGTAGTGGTATTCTGTGTGCAACATGGCTCAGTACACATAGAATGGAGTTTTGTTTTTTCTTCTGTTTTTCTTTTTTTTCCGCCCGCCCGCGTGCCCTTTCCAGAAAATATCCGACGCGAAACATAGAATTAACTTGGTGTGGCCTTATAGTATTTCCCGCTTTTCATGTAGACTTGACTCGACTCTTGACTGACTCACGGCTGCCATCCAAAGTACACGAGAAGCTTGGACTTCACAGGGAATCTCAAAGGATTAGGAAATGAGGCTACCTTCCCACTGCACTTTTCTCTCTCCAAAACTTGCGATAGCTACAAATACAAGAGAAAGAGAAATCACCTGTTCCACCACCAGGACTCATGCCAGAGGCTTTGCTATTTGCGAGTAACTGAGTTACAGTATGATACCCATGGGTTTTCACCTATAAGTAACTGAGTTACAGTATGATACCCATGGGTTTTCCCCTATAAGTAACTGAGTTACAGTATGATACCCATGGGTTTTCCCCTACAAGTAACTGAGTTACAGTATGATACCCATGGGTTTTCCCCTACAAGTAACTGAGTTACAGTATGATACCCATGGGTTTTCCCCTATAAAGTATAAAGTGGTTCCAACTACCTTAGCTGCTCCATCCTGATAATTCATCTTTGTACTTGGTCCGCGGCATCAATATTACCGCTTATCTTTCAGCTTGGTTTTTATGTCGCCAATGCTCACTTGCCACCCCATTTCATCCCATTTTTGGCTAGCAAGTTAGTTCACTAGTACCTGAAAGGCCTAGCCAGATTTCGAGTGGATCTCGAGAGCGACGGGTGGGTCATTATGACTGATACCACGCCAAATCAAAATAGAACATCTTGTCACAATGCACAGGCAAGAGCCACGCGACGCACAAGAAAATAATCGGGTACGAGGTGATTTGGCTTTTTTTAAACATGGTTGTAAAATGACGTTTTTTCAGCCACTTCTAGGCAAGCTACGTCCAAATGAATTGTTGCAAGTGGAAGTGCTATCCTTCATGCCCGTTGTCTCAAAAAATGGGAATGATCCCACTTTGGAAAGTGTCTTGAATCATGTCCTACAGTCAGTTTCGCCTATAGCGTTGGTGTTTGATTTTGAGCATGTTATCACTATAAGCAATATAATACTGCATGCAGTGTATGCGAGTGGGGTGTCAAACGACTCAGCGCGCCGTGCACATACGCACTACATACATGTATAATGTCATGTAGCTGGCTGTAGCTCCTGACACACAAAATCAGTATTTCCTCATGATGGAGGCATATTTTGGCAACTAACGGTGTTACTTGTACGAGCAAAACTCACCAGACAACACTCACTGGACAAGTTCTTCACGAAGAAGTAACACCCTGTTCTCCTCTGACATCGCTTGATTTTACATCAATCACTATAACCGATGCAAAAATATTGAAATATGAATTTGATCACTATAGGCGATATATTACTATAGACGATTATTACTATACGCGATAACTGTGTATATTTAGTTATGGCAAATGAAAATGAATTTGAGAAAATGATCACTATATCCGGTATATTACTATAGCCGCCAACCTTATCGGCGATACGGACTGTACTTTCATAGTATTCTCAGGATTCAAATAATTGGTATGTCATTTTTTAACAAATTTGTAAAATGGCATCACAAACTGGGATATTTGGTCATCAATGTTCTGAAGTTGATAGATATCACTTCAAGGATTGCTATGTGGATGAAAATTAATCTGTCAACTGCATTTTATGCTGCGAAAGCCGTGTTTTTGTATTTGTAACTAGTGGCTGTGTCATACGGTAGAATTGGATAGGCAGCATAGCATCGCAGCCATGTTTTCGTTCTCACAGAGTGTATTCCGTGACCTACTGTTCTTCATTATTGTCTTTAGTGATGGCAAGACGGCCTGACGTCGTCTAAAGGCCGTGCGGAAGCAATTCACTGCCCTCCTCGTCCATTCAGGGGCTTATTTTACACATTTACGCTAAAATTAATGGCAAAGCACCCACCACTAGTCACACCGACGTGGCAGGGAGAATTAAATTATATGCACCAAATGTTCTGGTCAATGTTGATCTACGATAAACTGGCTCTCATTTGCCACCACCCATATTTCGATACAGCCATCCGGAGCAGAGAAACAGCCAGAAGAAAAGCAAAATTTACACATTTGTTAGAAAAATGCTTAAAAAAAGTACTTGGAATCAGTTCCATTTTGCAAAATCGCCGAGATCGCTTACTGTGAAGTGAGAAACTTTCGCTATTTTCGTGACCATCACACATTCGCGAATATAAATCGCTGCAAACCTCTCTGAACATTGATTGTAGACAGTACAAGATCCGACTGAAGAGATAGAATCGCAAAAGTTTCTCATCGTGAACCAGCTCAATTTATGAAAACGCTAAATTTCCGAAAGTCTGTCGCTTTACAGTACCTCGGGGATCGCTCGCCAAGCCAAGATCGCAGTTCCCTCACCTCCAGCTCAACGCTTGGTGTATCCAGAGCATCGTGGAGATTTACAAGTACTGTACGCGTCATCGTTCAACATACAATATTGCATAGAACGGCGACTGATATGAAGCACACAGGTAGCCATGCTGCCGACGCGACGTCCTGTAGAGAAGTTGGCCGTCATGATCAACTTCCTTTAGGCAGCGGAGAAGAAGAGAGATGAGCTTGCGAAAGCGAGAGATTCGATCCCGAGCAAAACTATTTATCACCAGCGCCGAGAGCAGTGACGAGGAGGACCAAAAAAAGGATTAACCCTTCCTTGGACAATCCATTCCTCATGGCTAGTTGTCCCCTTCCTTGCACAATCCATTCCTCATGGCTAGTTGTCATTCTATACCTTACCCTCCATTGTACCAAGTTTTATCACCTCAAGTTTGCGCGTTGACCAAGTCTAAGTTCAATTTGTCGAAAGATAAGCGGCAATATTGATGACACGGACCAAGTACACTTCTTGTACACTTGCTTTGCGTACTGGCAATTCACCCATCCCCTGGTCCCACCATCAGCAAGAGTATATAAGCCCCTACAACTCACATCACGTGGTGTAGTGGCGCAGTTGTACATTTCCAGGCCGTTTTTAGCGAGCGGCAGAGTAATAAAAAAGCACTCTCTGACAGAAACTCACTGCGCGTATGCAAATCTCCAGCATGATCATGGCAGATGTTTGGATTGCGCGCATGCTTCCATTTGTTTGTACGTAGTACGAATGTACCTGAGACACGTGATGTGAGTTTTCGCCGTCGGAGACCCCATATGCAGAGTTGCACACTCTTGGGAGGTTATATAGTCTTGGTATCAGCTGAAAGTCTGAAAAATACTCACCATGACAATCCTCTCTCTGACCTGTGTTGCTATTACCCACTGCAGTTGTGACCTGTGCACGACCAGCTAATCCAGCCAACGGAGTCTATAGCACGGGCTCCTTTACCGCTGTACAAAACACCCTGACATTAACTTGTAGTACTGGCTACACCCTTGCCGGTTCTGCTACGGCAACTTGCGGAGCAGGTGGCTTAGTGACTGGTGATGATGGTGTCTGCAACGGTAAGTTCCCGGTGTGTTTGTCAAAGTCTACTTTGTAATTTCGTGGCTGCTATGGTAGCTCCTGCTTTTCATGTCGACTTGACTCGACTCTTGACCGACTCACGGCTGCCATCCAAAGTACACGAGAAGCTTGGACTTCACAGGGAATCTCAAAGGATTAGGAAATAAGGTTACCTTCCCACTGCACTTTTCTCTCTCCTGTAAACTGGTTCAAACTACTGTCGTGGACATGGAAATCTAGTCGAATGATGGTTTTTTCTTTCTTTCATATCTGCAAATGTTGAGTTTTGGAGAGAAAGAGCAGTACCGTAAAGTACCGTTGATCCGCCCCTCACGCCATGTCGCTTCCCAGCTGGGTTTTCGGCAGGGGGCGGGAATTAGATCAAGGCTGTCAAGTGCAGTACGATGTACAACAACTTGAAGGATCAGACTCAATGTGCTGGATTGTGGACATTTTCATCCTGGATTGGCAAGTATTGTGTACAGCAGTGCAAGCGTCGGTTCAACGTCGTATCACGTTGTATACGCCGAAGTCGCTTCACAGGTAGAAAATCGGCCGGGGGCGGGAATTAGAGAGGGGACGGATCAACGGTACTTTACGGTAGTCTAGGTTGCTGGGTTTCCCTACAAACAGCTGAGCTTGAGTAGGTTTGTGATATTTGTACTGCAGGAGCACTACTTTTTGTAGCAAGGGTACATCGACAAAGAGTGTCCGACTCCGCTTGGTTTCCTCCCGGCGGAACTTTTGTTGACGTGAACTTTTGTGGATCATGAGTCATACCGAACGAAGTATGCATGAGTCTGTAGCCGCGTGAATTCGGCAGAGTTTCACTTAACTTGTACTACGAGTACGATAAAACTCTACAGTGGCAGGAGAAAAAGTTAAGTTTTCATTTTTGAAGCGACGAAGATCCGCGCGCCCCGCATGTTTTGTGGATGCACATTCTTTGTACGACATCATGCTTTCTGAAATGGGTGACGTCCAGGAAAATCCGCCGTGGACCAGAGTAGCTGCAGAGTTGCGGACACTCTTGGTTGTAGAGCTCCCGCAGTACAAATGTCTTTAGCCTACTCAAGCTCACCGATCTTCTTAGCGTAGATCGAACGCATGTGCAGTTCACTGGCTACAAATATCGCGTTTGCCTTCGGAGAAAGTATCTTCGACTGGCGCTGAAGATTGGCGAGGTTTGTAATTTTGACTTGATTTCTGTGCTGTCATGTCCTCTCAGAAACTCGAGACAAGTAGAGCTGATGATTGCTTCATTTTTGAGTAGAAGTAACGAGAACAAAGAATCAACTCTCCTCAGATCCTCAGTGCCAGAGGCAGAACGCTGCAGTTCCACAACGCTCATTTCATGATAATGGGAACAATTATCTTGTGCAGTGCACACCAACATTTTGGCCATCCCTACTCCGGGGCCAATCCGTCTAGCAAGCAAGCATCCTCGACAATTACGATGTGGACAACACTGCGCACTAGTAAAAGGCTCCTCGAACAAATTTACTCCAATTTGCCACTCCATTTCAAGAATTATGGTCCGGTTCCACTGCGTCTCCGTTGCTGTGCGGCAAGTCCCAAACTTGCGGCTTGCAGCCGAGCAGCACAGTTCCATTCGCAATACCGCGATTGTGCTTGACGTATTACCTGCCCGCATGCGCGTGCGCGCCCGCGGAACTGAAAAATTCCTCGTGTCCTGGCCTGCGCAACAAAATTAATTTTTAATTTTAATTAAAATTCCCGCGCACCTTTCAATCAATTCCAAGATGCAATTTTAGCTCCAGATGGGAGGAAGAAGAACATTGTAGAAAACAATAGAACTGAAGCCCAAACTCTCGGTGAGCAGTAGAAGTTTTCCTGAAAATGTTTTACATCCTGGAAAACTTTGAATAGCCATGGAGCACCGGCATGGCTTGTTGATTTTAAGACTATTTTGAGACTTGGAACAGAGCAGTATCTCAAATTTGATGGAATTGTTGCCTGTCAACGGTGTTGGCAAGCTGGCCAGGTGACAGGTTATGTATGAGCATGCATTGGTTTTGCACGGCTCGCGCGCAGAAACTAAGTTGCTGCGATTCAAGTGCACATAAGTGCACTATCCAGGAATTTGTGTGTGCATGATGAGAGTGGGGTCCAACCCTTAAGCCCACAGTATGTATTGTATCCATTTTGATTGCGGCAGGGTTGTATTTTCAGGGAGGACAGTCACACAAGAGGGTTTTTTGATCTATGCAGGAAAGACGTGTGGTAACTATGCCTGAAAGTACCTGTCTACACCCACACACTGGAACTAACTGGGAAAAGAAAGGTGAAGGCAAGAAAGGTGAAGGCAATCCTGAAAGGAAAAGTAGCCTATTGGTGTTAGGAAAGTCTACAAAGGTTGCAAAACCTTGCTGAAAATTGTGTCTCATTGCTTGTGTATGCATTTTGTCGTTTGAGATGGTCTACACGTGCTTTTCTATTTGTTGTACTTCTCCAGTCATCATCCCAATCGAGAGTGCCCCGGTGCTCCAATCTGTGATGGCCAGGACAGCCACTATAGAAATTCCAGCTGTGAATGCTCTCTACCCGTGGACTCCCACTAGATATGTGTGAGTAGCGCATTGTTGCTCTTCTACAGCTGGGTAATAGTCTAGCCTCGCTGTTCTGCTACTAAAGAGCGTTTTATTGAACGCTTGTACGAAGCAATGATGATATCAATGCAGAAAGAGAAAAGAATTCGAAAGGAGAATAGCAAAATTGATTTAAATTTGTGAATTGCAACAACAATCTCCGCTGTTCTGCTGCTCTTTTGATCAGAGAGGTGCTTGTCGTTCCACCACGTGCCGATTGCATGCAGCGCCATGCACCTGTACCATGATCCGATCACTATTGGAAAGCCTCCTTGAGATCAGTGTTTACCAGTAAGGCATTGCAGATGCCAGCCTTGTGGCAACTCCAGAAGACTCACTGTGCTGACTCACTGTGCTGACTCACTGTGCTGCATTTGCTCTGTACTTAGACAGGTGTTTACAGATTTATCCAAATACTACAAATAGCGGAGTTATCTGCAGATTGTGCTAGAAATAGTGATGTCTGCCTATGGGTGTCCTGGTTGACTTTGTGTCAGGATGTGCTGGTTGACTCTGTGTCAGGGTATGCTGGTTGACTTTGTGTGTTCCTCCAGGATAAATTTGCTCAGAATTGAAACAAGTAATGTCACTTTGAGCACCCCCATGGAAACCACGGTGGATGTGACGAATCCTGACAGGTCAACTGTCGTCACAAAGGTGCTACGTAACTTGAGTCCCGCATCTCACTACAGCATCACAGTACTGGTTGATAACTCCACGTCCTTGAGCCAGAGAAGCCCTGTGCTCAACGTGTCCACTCTCCCTGAAGGTGCAGTTCATCCCTCTTCTTTATTCTTCTTTAATTTTAATTTTAATTGATCACCGTAAATCCTTTTCTTAGCATAAGTATTCTACTGTATCATTTGATAGTGCATGGTGAAACGTCAGTCTAAACTCTAAAGTAAATATTCACCGGATTGAGGGAATTGAAATGGGTTAAGTTGAAAAATGACCTTGGCCACCAGGACTTGAACCAGAGGCCTTCGCTGTAAGCCAATGATCTAACCACTACGCTACGGTGTAGTCGTCATCCAAGCAGAGTCCATTGAACATTATTATTGCTTGGATAGGATATGATCTACAGTTTTAATCAGGACCAGAGTTGCAACGAATAATATTCGAATAATGGAATACAGTCGTCCCTCTCTAATCCGGCACTTGTTTATCCGGAACCCTTGCCAACCGGCGCACTTTCTGACGAAACCGATTTTTTTCGTTCAATTCCTACATCTTAATCCGGCACTTGAATTCCGCCTCCGGCAGTGACTTTTTGAAACGAATCGCTCAAACTGCACGTAGTTTGATTTCATAATCCGGCAGTCGTAAATCGCGTACCGCACAGGTGCACTCCAGGCTAGGCCAGTCTGGTCAATGTTGTCGAGGAGACAACGGCAGTCAACCATACTTTTCTTATTTCACTATTTTTAGCAAGGAGTAGTGTCCTGCCAATTTTCAGGTGTGTGTGTGTGTGTGTGTGTGTGTGTGTGTGTGTGCGTGTGTGTGCAAGAGTACATGTGAACATGTTCTCTGTTTTACTTTATCACTGTGTATATTCCCGGAGAACAATTGAGAATATAAAGCCGTGCACCAAATACTTGGGTCGACACGGAAAAACCCTGCGTTTTGACGTACATAATTATGATACATGCATGCAATTGCGTAGGGCCGGGTCAGAGGGCAGGATTTCTTAATCCAGCACCCTCGTTAATCCAGCAGAAAACGCCGTAGCAAAAGGTGCCGGATTAGAGAGGGATGACTGTATCTTCGATTTTTCGAGCTGCAACGAATATTCGAACATGCGAGTCAGAAGTGGAATTTTTGAAATGCTGCACTTTGTGTACAACTTTCAGTGCAAGGCTCAATCCGCTCATCGCAGCACGCTCGCTGTGTTCTTGCATCGTAGAATGTGCAACAGTCACTGCAACTGGGCATCAAACGACATCGTCAACGTATTGTGCTTGCACCTGCGCAAGAAATACTGGTTCTTCTTCGTAGTTCGCAGCAGTTCCTGGTTAGTTTCGAGTCACTAAAAAATCGTGATTTCGGATCGTAAATCTAGCTCCGTGTGGGAGAGTTTTGAGAGACGTGAGACTTTTGTTGTATCCAACGCAAACCCACAAAATATTTCATCCTGCGCATGGAGCGCGAGGATGTCGTCTTCTTCCGCTCCGCAGTACATTAGGCTCTTCCTTCGATACATCGATGACAATCCGTTTTAGGCAACTCAGCGCAACATCGAATACAAACTCAGACAAATAAACTTACGTGGAACAAAGATTTGCATCCAGAACAGTCCAGTCTACTGAAGAGAACAAGAACAGCAACTCGCATCGCACTCCACTTCGTATTTTTTTTCCCGCGGAATTCAAATCGCGATTTTCTCGACTTTTTCCACGAATGCTGTGGTCATGTTTTAGCACGCTCTGGCTCAAATATACAAGGAAGTATAGTGTGCTGAAATGGGCTCGTCTGCATGGGTAGAATAGTAGAATTTTCGTTCTTTCGTACTGTGCATATTCGTTAGAATATTCGTTCGTGATTTTGCTATTCGTTGCAACACTGATCAGGACCCTTGGTGTTGCTATGCCCGTCATGTGACCTTGGGTATACGGTAGCTAAGCTATAACAGTACAGCTTTTTGCTTCCCTTGGAGGTTTGTTATTCAAGTATATTGCCACTGCATGAACCGTGTTGCTTTGCGAATTAGCAGTTATACTGTCACTGTGTGTACCGTGTTGCCTAACTTGCTTGTTTGGTTTGGTGCTGCTTTCGTTACAGCATCTGGTGCACCAGACTCTCCGGCGGTAGATGCGCAGATGGCTACGTCCTTCCGAGTGTCTTTCCCACAGCTAGATTTGTCTCTTCATCATGGGCAGTTGACTGGTTATCAGTAAGTGCTGACACACCAGTATTTTGTGTGCTTTTTGTTTCCGAAGGAAGTGGGACTTAGCACGAAACGAATCCCATACAATATTATAAGTCAGTGAAAGCCGGCTTTCGGCACGCGAAAGTTACGAAACTGCCATTCGCAGACTTTTCAACGAGTACATCAAGAAATGGCAATTTACCACACACCTCTAACTCAGATGTAATTTTCAAAGACCGATGAAGACCATTCAAAACGTCCCAAAAAAAAGCAAGAGCCTGTTCCTTTGACAAACAAATTCGGTCAGCTATCATCAGCAAAGCCATAAAGCACGCGAGGCCACTTCGAGGCAGGAATAAGCAATTCACATTATCCTTCCAAAATAGTCGCCGGGAATACCATGAAATTGTTTGTTTGCCAGCGTTTTGGTTGTGTGACCGTATAAGGCTGTGATATGTCCCTGCTCTTTCCCTCTTTCCTCTGCCTCTATATCCACCACCACGATTTAGATCATTTACAATACTTTCTCACAATTCGTAAGGATCTATCACCTATTGCACTTGTATTCATGGTTGGCATTCCTTATTGCAGCCTTGCCTGTAATTCCTCTGACGAGAAGGCTCTGAAAACGTTCAGCAAAGCACACATTAGAATAACATCATGGTCCTTGTTGCTGATGTGTCTCTTGCTCTATTCATTGCAATAATTTACTCAACTACAATGACAGGGCAAAGGAACATGCTGACAAGACAACGGGTTTGCATTAGAGAACTTTGGACAAGTCACTGCCTACTTGCTGGGAGTAAAATGCATGTGAATTCGTAGGCCCCTTGTTGTTTGCCGAAAAGTGACTGCAGTGCATTGTTTTTACTGGTCGGTTTGTATGGTTGTGTTGGCACGTCCAGGATTGAATACACGGCAGTGCAACGGAGCGGAGTGACACTGCCCTCTGCAGTAAATCTGACTGAAGACGTAGGGATTCCCGTTGTGTCGACCGCCTCAGTGTCGGCTGTTGTCAGCACGAGCGTCACTCCAGCCACACGCTACACTGTGAGAGTACGTGCAGTCAATTCGGTCGGTGCTGGTATCCTGAGCCAGCTGACTATTGTCACTACTCTGGAGAGTGGTAAGTGCATGTACATACCGGTATACTCATATACACACGTATGTAGGTTTGGGTTCGAATCCCACTTCTGACACCAATGTAGCATCTGTGACGGGGATGTGGCTGTAACCTGATTACAAGGACTTACTCCAGCGGGTATCTCACGAACAGAGTACTAGCGTGAGGACAAGTTACCTTCTTTTGCAGTAAACTCTACTGTTAACACACACACACACACACACACACACACACACACACACACACACACACACACACACACACACACATGCCCACACACGCACGAACACACACACACACACACACACACACACACACACACACACACACACACACACACACACATGCATGCACGCACACATACACACACATACACACACACACACACACACACACACACACACACACATGCCCACACACGCACGAACACACACACACACACACACACACACACACACACACACACACACACACACACACACACATGCATGCACGCACACATACACACATACACACACACACACACACACACACACACACACACACACACACACACACACACACATCCTGATCCTGATACTGATCCTGATAATTCAAATATATGGCTTTTAGAAAAGGAAACAAGGAAAACGGTGGGGTACACTAGGCTGACAAGGAGTACTGAGACTTTCCACGGCAAGACTTGTTTGTTTCCTTTTTAAAATATTTTCCTTGGCTCACCATCCGAGTACTTGTATGGCTTAAAATTAGAAGTTTCTTTCAGGACCGACTTCAATCAGTAAGAACCCAACAAAACATTGTCTGATAATCATAATTCAAACCTTGAACTGTGCATGTAATAGAAGTCTCAGGAAATGCAAGTGTATAGAGAATGCGCGTGTTTCCTGCTGATAGTTTAAAGGTAGCTAGACATATTTCGACGTTCACTGTACACTGTCCTGGCCAGTTTATTGTCTGACGAATCTGTGTCTATGGTACATAGCGCAAGTCTGCATGACGAATGCGAGCATTTTGGCATACATGGGTTGTGAGAATGTCTGGATATTTGGAGGTTTCTTCCCGGCATTTTGGGGTGTGAGTATCAGGATTCTACCTGTAGTGGCCGAGAGACCAGCATTACATTGTAGGGCTGCTGCACAGCCCAGCCTCCAGAGTAGGTGCAGTGAACAGTGAACAGTTTTTGGCTGTGTTGGTCAAGAAGTCAGAGTTTATGGTCATTGTCAATCCATTCGTTTGGTTTCCGTGTGCGTGCGCGCGCGCGCGTGTGTGTGTGTGTTGGTGGCATTTTGGTGTTGTTTAGTTCCAGGCAAACCGCAGAAACCCACACAGGATGCTATAACAACTAGAAGCATACTGCTTAACATTCCCGCTCTGGACTTGGGTGATCGCCATGGCATGATTACAAAATACAGGTACTAACGTCATGGTCGTAACCACCTTGATCATTCATATATTTACCCAATGCTGTAGACAGTAAGCTGTTTCGGCCATATACTGATATATGCGTCATCAGTACAGCTACGAGCTTTAAGTAAGCCGAGCTACCGACCATGGTGCAAAGGAGGCATCACAGACATGATGATAGCTCATTGCTCTAGCACCAGAGTGCTCAAACTACGAAAAGTAGCGAGCGTTGCTCATTCATATATTCAAGAATTTCTTTTTGCTCCGTTCGTTGCCACCAAGAGTACACAAAGTGGAGTGTGCAACTCCGGGAGAATGTGCCCACTGGGAAAACTGTTTTGTTGTTGTTCTGGTCATAGTTACTAGTATTCACCTTCGCTAATATCTCACACCGGTGTCGATTGTCATTTTACCGTGCCCCCGCAGTAATGCCGGTTGCGCATTGCCGCTTTATAGCGTACAAAAGGTCACAAGGCATGACGAGATATTTTAAGATGATGGCCTAAACGAAAAAAAATATTGCAGTGGAAGTAGGCTTGTGCTGCATAGATGCGCATTTGCACACTCTGGTGATGTGTACCATCAGTACAACCTTTAGTATCTTGAAAAGGGAACTCTTACCAAATCGTTTTGCGTTATTTTGTAGTTTTTAGGCTGTTGATCACGATGGTAAGCTCCGTTTTCTTCTGAAGCGACTTAACCCTTTAAGAGCCGCCCCATACTTGAATGCGTCGTAAACGACGCATTCAATTGCAAAACTTCAAAAGATCGTAACTCAGTCCAATCTCGCTCAAATCCAGTGATCGAAATATCCAGGGCGAAGAGAAAACTCTCACCTGTCGGGAGAAATAGTCCGCGAAGCACTGCGAGCCACGGTTCTGGAGATAAATCACTCGTAAGTTGAGCTGCGATCGCGGCAATTTCAAAAGCGCGCAGTGCGACTTTAGTATTGAGAATTTTGAGACTTTTCGCCACGCTGGTTTACTCGAATTTGCACGGGTTTCACTGTTGATATTGTCAAGAGTACACAGCGAAAAAATTGGAACTCCACGATCGAGTAAAATGAAATATCTGGAGCGGGACGCAATTGGACGCATTTGGGGCATTTTTCGTACTGTCGCTGCGATCTAGCGCTGGCTAGACGGTGTGCTGGCTATCATGATCGACCTCATTCTCTTCCTCTCGCGGAGACCTTTCCAGGAAGCCCTAGATTGTGAGGATTGAGTGAGTAGAACTGAAGCTATGATCCAAGGAACACGAAAAAATGCAGAATTTTGAAAATTTCCTGTGGCTCTTAAAGGGTTAAAGTAGGTAAAACTAAAAAGTCCAAGTGTACGTGTCGAAAATCGATGTTTTGTTTTGGCACGGGGAATCAATAGTGGGGAGAATATACAATTGAATGGGGGAGGGGAGTGTTGGCAGAATCTTGTCAGGAAAATGCGAAGACAAAGTGTTAGATCTACTAGTTAAATCAGTTGAGAGACATGTATGATGTAATGTAGTGATTGACACATTCACTCATAATAACATCACAAGTTGTCTGCCACACTAGCTGTTCTTTTTCATGGCTGGTGTTTAAACGAGAGAGCTTGGAAGCTCAGGGCCCTACGCTATGCTTTTTTGCCTTGATGACCTAGACAAAAAAGCATAGGGATGTTATAAATTCTTATAAGTTTCTACTTTCTGTTTTTAGACATAACCTGGGATTCGAACCCGCACTATCGCCCTGCATGCATCCCCCGATACACTTCGCATACATACCGTATTTTCCGGGGTATAAGCCGCACTTTTTTCGCTAAAAATCGGACCAAAATCGCCCCTGCGGCTTATACACCGAATATGCTTGCGCGAATGAATGCTTAGCATACATCAGTATGCATGCTGATGTCATGTGACATGTCATTCGACTCAGCTTCGCGCCTGTGTTGCTGATCAACATCAATGGCAGCGAGACTGAAAATAGTGCAGATGATATGGAGCGATCTGTAGTCAACACAGCAATACACCAACATCTCTGCAGCAACCTGTGGTGCACTAACACTTCATAATCTGATCTAACATGGTATTTAGCTCCATAACCCTAATAAATTTGTAGAAAGGCCATTTGTCAATGAGTGTAAAAAATCTTGGTTTGTGGGTGCGGCTTATACTCCGAATACCAACTTTTAGTCCATATTTTGCCTCAAAAAGGGGGGGGGGTGCGGCTTATACCCCGGTGCGGCTTATACCCCGGAAAATACGGTACTAATTCTTCCAAGTTGCTTCACGTTATGATCTTGTATTTGAAAGCCCTATTTGAATATGCATTGTGGCCAGCCGTCTTTGAATGCACGGTACGGTACGGGATAGGTACGGGAAAGGTACGGTCGAGGGTAATACGACACCGTCTACCGCCTTGATGACGGCAAAAAAAGAAAAGGGATGTTATAAATAATTCTCTTATTTTTTCAGGCATTACCTGGGATTTGAACCCGCACTATCGCCCCACATGCATTCTCCCATACACTTCGCATTCATTTCATACTCATTCTTCCAAGTTGCTTCACGTTATGATCTTGCGTTTGAAAGCCCTATTTGAATATTGCGGCCAGCTGTATGTGGCCAGCTGTGTTTGATGGTACGGTACGGTATGGGACAGATACGGGATAGCGTCAGGCGTGACACAAACACACAAACAAACACCAAATTAAAGCTGTGTGGACCCTGGCTAGCGCCAGACGTTACTGAAGTAACGTCTTCTGCATAGCTACGGGAATAAAGCGATTCTTTGGTACGGTTTCCGGCCTGCAATGAAAAGAGAGAGAAAATACTTTGCGTTTTCTCATCCATGGGAAGCAAAGATGAGATTTCTGTGTGTGGTACTGTTGACCAGCATCTAGCGTTTGTGTGTGTGTGTGTGTGTGTGTGTGTGTGTGTTTGTATGTTTGTATGTGTGTGTGTGTGTGTGTGTGTGTGTGTGTGTGTTTTGAACGATTCTTGTTGTCGTAGCATAAAGTTTGTCCGAACACAGGTGAGTGGCATAGCAGTGAGTGGCCCTGGAGAGACCAAGTCAGTTGATGTCTCAGTGTCCACTCCAGGCATGCAGCGCCAGTACAATTATACGATGGCCAGCCCTGCCTCACTCTACACCATTACAATGACCGCCACAAACGGAGCTGGTGCTGGCCCAGACAGTGATCCCATAATGGTCACCACCCTGGCCGACCGTAAGTATGCTCAGCTTCTCACGCTTACAGGATTTGATGGTCTCTAGCTTGAAATGTGCCCTTTGTAGCTTGAATCAGATTGCTGTGCCCTTTGTAGCTTGACACTGTGCTTGAATGTTGAAACAAATATGTATTTGTAAAGATCTATGTAGGTCAAAATAAATAATATACATTGAGGTGTTGCTATTGCCGAAAGGTTGAAATCACACCTTCCTCAAACTAATTCATTGAGAGAGCCCCTTTCTCACACTACTAAGGAACACATTGAAAGAACACCTGTGATTTTTGAAACCAAACGCAAATCAACCCGAAAAGCGTGTTCAACTCTTCATGCGGGGTTTGCCAGTGTGAAACTCACATGGTCTTCCATGGCCCACAGCCCCCACAATCACGTCATGTCTACCACTGAAGCTGAAGAAGTACAAAAGATATTCCTGCTAAACCTTTCAACACTTTAGAATGGTGGCATGTGTGGTTTTTGCATAGCTTGGCACCTCCCATGCATGATTGTAGTATTGCTCTATGTTCACAGTGCCAGTGAATGTGCCAACACCATCAGCAAGCACAACATTGGGAACTACGCGGGTCACCATTCCCAGCCTTGGTCTGATGGATCGGAACGGTGCCATCACAATGTATAAGTAAGTTCTCTGCTCGGGTGTTTGTCTACTGCGGCTGAATTCTGTTGAGGTGTGTGTGTGTGTGTGTGTGTGTGTGTGTGTGTGTGTGTGTGTGTGTGTGTGTGTGTGTGTGTGCGTGTGTGTGTGCGTGTGTGTGTGTGTGCGTGTGTGTGTGTGTGCGTGCGTGTGTGCGTGCGTGCGTGTGTGTTAGGCACTTGCTTTTACCCAGCTACATTAGCGATAGGTGAGCAGGTTATGTTCCCACACGTCTTTCTTCTCTTTCTCAGTCTCCTGACTTTTCTCTTTCACTCTCCTGGGTGGTTACCAACAGCATGCAAGCTGTTGAATGGTACAATCCCAGTACAAGTTGCTATGCCTTCTGCTGTAGCATCGCTGTCATTGCCTCTGGCAATGGGCATCGAAGGTCAAATGTGTGTTTGTGCGTGCGGGTGTGCGTGCATGCCGGTGTGCCTGCGTGTGCATGCATGTGTGTGTGTGTGTGCACGTGCATATGTGCGTCTGTTCTCTAGGTTATGCTATGTTCTCACTCACTATGGTCGTGAAGCTGTCAATACTTCAGAGGTGTGTATAGATGAAGCCGTGTCAGCCGCAGAGCAGGGTTCGCCTAAGATACTCAGCCTGGGTATGCTAGCCGCGGGATCCACTTTCAACCTAACACTAGAGGTGTTCAACGCGGCCGGCAGCGCTAAGAGCACAACTCCAACATCCTACACAACACCTGATGCAGGTAATTCTGCAGTGTGCGTATTGAGAGAGGGAAATACACCTAATATCGCAAACAAGAGGACAAGCTGTGCGACAACCGTTATGTATTGACGATGCATGACTAAACTACATGTGAGAGAGAGAGATAAATGTGAGGTAGAAATGTAAAAGGAAGAAATGTTCAGACCAGTGTTCCCACAGTTTGGGCTCTTGTCTGCAGTATTAAAGTTGCTATCTCCGAAACGCTTGAAATAGACCTAATGAAGCATGAATGAAGCATAAATGAAGCATGAATAAAGCATGCTATACACGAACGGGTGAAAGTATCCAATGAACCTTGGTAATGAAATCATGAGCAGCAAAGTGTTCGAATGAGTTTTCAAACTTTTAAACTTTTTATGAAAGCTGCTTGCCTAGACCTGTAAAACTGTGTGTCTGTCTGCCTGTGTGCCTGTGTGTCTGCCTGCCCGTGTGTCTGTGTGTCTGTCTGTGTGTCTGTGTGTGTGTGTGTGTGTGTGTGTGTGTGTGTGTCTGTGTGTCTGTGTGTCTGTCTGCCGTGTGTCTGTGCCTGTGCATACCTGTTTGCCTGCACGTGTGTATATGCGTACATATGTGTGTATATGAATGTTGATGTCGGTGTTGGTGATGGCGTGTAGCTCCAGCCAGAGCGTATAGCGCTATCGAATTCAGCCGTGGGGCCAATTTTATTACTGCTTTCATAACCCAACCGAACGTGACGGAAAGAAATGGAGTGATTGGCAGATTTCTTGTGACAGCTCAGCGCATTGTTCCACGCACCATCATAACAGCAACATCAGTCCCAGTTGCTCTTCCCACGGTAAGGCTCAGTGTGTCTTGATGTGGACTAGGGTCCTAAAGCAGATCCTCTGCTGCATAGCCCTGCAGATGTCTTTCAGCACACGCATGCACACACACACAAAAACCAAAAAACACACACACCGTACATCTACCAACTTCTACCAACTTCTACCGACTTCTACCGACTTCTACCGACTTCTTCCAGCCTCGAACCTGGTAGAGCCGGTAGAGAAAAGTAGAATCTAACATTTGGGGTAGAAAAATGAACACATCTACCGAGTTTCTACCCAGACCTATAGATCAAAAGCGAACGCCCCCTAATACTCATCCACTTGTTTTCAGGTGGTTCCATGTACCAAGTACCAGTAACATCGCTTCACCTTGAGTTGAAATTCTGTCTGAAGATTGCACCAGAGAGCACCAACGAGGAGGCATCAAAATGAAGTAGCCATGTCGTTTTTAAAAGTACAGGTGTTGAACGTATGTAGCGTTGCCATTTGTGCTGCTTGCTTTGAGATTCTTGTGATGTCTCTTGTGTTGTGTGTGTGTATTTATATTGACAGGGCCAAGATATGGTCCACCAACAGTTCACGTTACTGCATGCTCACTCCATTTACACGATTACTGTTCAAGCGTGCCAAATTAGTGATTCATTACTTTGCAGCCAAGAAGCATTGGTGAACGTCACAACTCTGTCAAAGGGTGAGTCAGTTACGTATTTGCAAACACACACACATACACACGCTCACACACACACACACACACACACACACACACACACACACGCACGTACACACACACACACGCACACACGCACGTACACACACGTACACACGCACACACATGCACTGGTTTAGAGTAGACCAACCCAGAGTTGCGTTTGTTCCATGGCACAGCGATTCAGCTGGTACTGTTCTTAGCTAGTTTTAGCTTTGTTGAAACTTCCTTACCGGAGACCTGATTTTGTATCTGGAGGAAGTTGTTCTATTTTTAAAAGTTTGTTGTATTCTTGAATCAAGTTCTGACAATGCCAAAGCATGGCTCTTCTACACAGTGTTTCTCACTCAATTGTATCCATTATTCTCTCCTGGTTTTCAGTGGCCGATGAAGCTCCTGCGCTGGTGCTGAAATCTGCCAGCAGCAATACCACCTTCAAATCAAATATCACCGCAACCTTTGATGGCAGTACCCTCAACGAAGCAAGGGTAAATAATACTAAATATACCCACCGCTGTTGACCATTCGGTGCATTGCTTGTGACTTTGACTGGCAGTACAACTGCGCATATTCATGAGTCCACAGTGCAGAGCTTGTTTCAGTAGAACACTGCACAACAGCATGGGCAGTGCTTTGCAGTGAAATCTGGCATTTGTGACACACGCGCTGCTGGGATTGGTGGGCATTCTCCAGGAGACAGTGGAGGTTTCGCACTACGCAGGACACGCCCACGGGATGTCCATTTCCAAAAGGTACCAGTGTGCAGCCTCCATCTGTTACGGGTACGTGCAGGGATCATCCAAAGCAGCTTGAACATGCCCAAGGAATGTGTTTTTAAGTTGGTCTACTCGCACAAACCAGGTTGCTTATTCCAGGATTAAATTCCGATTTTAACATACAAAAAATACTTGCGAAGTGTTCAAGTTACAGCCGAAGTTTGTTTTCCTTGTTGTATAGTTTGTGCCTTGTGCTTCGTATTGAGACACCTGGCTGATCACATAGCACAACTATGAGTTTGCTGTTTCAGTCCTGTGGGGAGATAGGCTGTCGTGTCTTGGTGGCTTGGTAGTGCACATTAACATGATGTCTTTCTGTCCTCGCTTGTAGATCCATGGCATAATCACCAAGTATGAAGCAGTTCTCTACAAGGACGGAGTGAATATCAGCAGTCAATCTGTCAACGTTACCCACAGCATTGGAGAACAGGCTCCTAGTGCAACTGTGACTTTCTCCGATCTCCAGCCTTACACTGAGTACACACTGCGATCTCTTGTCTTCACTGCTTCGCTCTTCAACTCGACAGTGACCCATGTCAGTGCCCTTAGTCAAGTGTATCGCCATACAACCGCGGAAACCAGTAAGTCATTTCGCAATTCTTTTGGAGGTGCATTTCCGAGATGTGCCCTTTTTTGCATGTGATGAAATCGCAGTAAGCCAATCCTAACTAGCTAACAAAGCAGTAAGCCAATCCTAACTTTTCTAGGCTGTAATACATCCTCTTTTTTTGCATTCTGGTATTTACGAAACAGCATACATCTGTGAGGGGAGACTCTGGTATTTACGAAACAGCATACATCTGTGAGGGGAGACTCTAGTGTAAAGTGCCATCAGGAGCACACAACCCCCAGAGTGTGCAATGCCTGATCCAGCTCTGCATAGTGTCTTGGTCGAGCGTAGTCGGATCTTCTGATGTCATGCGTACACTCCACACCAGCGCAAGGCCGGTCTCGAGGCAGGGCACTGTTATTTTTGATCCGAGAGTCCCCGCGACTCCCCGGGTTCCTCTCAGATGTGTACGGTATTAGGACGCAAAGATCCGATTACGCTCGACCAAGACCCTATGCAGAGCTGGATCAGACATTGCACACTCTGGGGGGGGGGGGGGTATGTACTCTCGGTGCCAGGCAATAGAGCGGGGAGACTACGTCTGTCTGTCTGCATGTGCCTGCGTACGAGCATCAGAACACTGCTATTTCTCTGATATTCATTGACAAGCACATGTTTACATAATGCTAGTAGTCAAGGAGTACAACGATTTGATATGCTGTATTGTGTTTTGGCGACGTAACTGCCTGCTGTATTTATCATTGCTGCATGCCTGTACATGTAGTCAGCTAGTACTGAAGTATGAGAATGGGAGCAGCTTGCCTGCTTAATCATGTACAAGGGTGCCGAAACGTGAATTAGTTCCCTTGTTTAGCCAACGGGAATACTTGGCATTTGCGTCATCAAACACCAGACTTGTGTTTAGCTAGTGTTTGACCAGGGAGACCATGGTAGCTAGGAGCAGGACCAAGGGAGACCATGGTAGCGAGGAGCAGGACCAGGGAGACCATGGTAGCGAGGAGCAGGACCAGGGAGACCATGGTAGCGAGGAGCAGGACCAGGGAGACCATGGTAGCGAGGAGCAGGACCAGGGAGACCATGGTAGCGAGGAGCAGGACCAGGGAGACCACGGTAGCGAGGAGCAGGACCAGGGAGACCATGGTAGCGAGGAGCAGGACCACAAATCTAAACTAAGTTATCCATAGTTCCAGGACTGAATACTCAAAGTGCAGTTTATTTTGTAACGTTTACGTAAAACCCCGCCAGAGCACCCCTTTTCTCCCTATCTTCTATTGCACTATTGTGCTTGAACGTGTATGCGTGCCTCTGTGCTTTGTGTGCATCCAGGACCAGAAGCGGCTTTCTCCAATGCGTCATTCCGATCTGTAACGAGACACGGATTTCAACTTTGTTTCGTTTGGCCGGAGAAGGCCGAAAGACACGGTGCTCTGACATCTTTCAACGCTTTCTACCGACTGGCTAGTAGTGCAGCTGGTACTGCCTATGTGCCAGTAAGGCGGTCATTTTGTTTATTCAATGTAGCTGGGCTGTGTCTGGTACGGCAGACATTATCATTTTGAGAGAAGCTAGATGTGCAATGGTGTAGTGCCGTGCGGGCACTTGGATGATAGGACACAAACTCAAACACTGGCTTTTTTCGGTGCAAAGCACATGCTGCTTGCAAACCCTATAGTGCATTTCGAAAACATAAGATACATGAACCTGTAGGAGAATTCCGTATTGGGTTCTAGCGCACTTTAAAACCGGGGTGTGGATGTACACATTCTCCTAAACTACGAAAGACTTCGTGAAGTTCAACATGGGTGGGTCCACAGGCATCTCGTGTCCCCGGCTGACAAATGCTGTGGCTTACCAGCCCAAAGCCACACGCTTTTTTCAGAATCAGAAAACCTGCCTGAAATATACTGCCACATCTTCATACAGTTTGCAGCTATTTAACGATGAAAAGCATTGTACATGATATAGCTGTCCCCTATTAACCCAGCACTTTTTTTGGTGGCACCCTAATGAAGTCCATCAAACTTCCACGATCAAATTGTCATTCAGACTACAACTGTAAGGGAGATTTGTTCACCCTGTACGTATACCGCCTCTAATGGTGCAGAATTGCTGTGATAGACGTGGTGGAAATAGCAATGCATTTAGTGATGTGGCGAACGTCGGATTCAATGAAAAAAACATCTTTTCAGCAATTTCAGTATCTATTCAGTAAATAAGAAGTATTCTGCTGCTCCCCCTCCCCCCCCCCCCCCCCCCCCCCCACCACCACCACCACCACTACAAAAGACGTGCACTTCGGAGAATCAATTTGTACGTTACCAAGCCGCCACGATACTCCAAGAGGTCTCACAGCTC